ACCGACGGCAGAAGACACGCTGCTGACGGACACAGAGAAGACAGAGTTGATGTACAAGCAGATACAGTTACAGTTAAGTATTATCTGCTATCCTGTCTGCCTTCTCTTCCTAACACGCAACTGAGGGATATAACCAGTGTTGTCACAGGAACACACAAGAATATAACAGTGGCCAACGCCGTCGGTTGAAAGCCTGGCGGGATGGTAAACGGAATTTTGGACGCAACCCGAAAGACCACGGCTACTGGATGTGTAGCAAACAAATAACGGAACAGTCATATAATAGCGAAGATAGTAGCCGGCGAAAGGGTACTAGCCTGTCTAAACCATACAAAAGGGCTAACACCTATCGAAAGTTCGACCGTCGTTCTCGACGATAAATAACACCCATCAGTAATCTCCTCGTGTGCCTACCGATCTGCAAGTGTGGGCGAGTTTAAGGAAAAACAGGATTCATTGAACCCTCCCTATCGCTCGCCTACCGGCCGGGAAGGAGAACAAGCTGATGGGAACCGAAAGTGGGAACGACAGCCAGAGAAAAACGGAATAACTACAGCCGCGTAAGATGTCTGCGATTGATAATTAAGAAACTACTTTAAAATATTCAGTAGGCCGGACTTTCACCAATTTTCGCTTATTTGTCGCTCGACAGAATAAGTTTGTCTTTGAATGTTACAACTAGAAAGGTTAGGAGGAGCGAATTGGCAGCTTACTTTTTACCGTGCATGGTCGTAAGACTTATTTGTAAAAATAAATTAAATTAATTTCAAAAAAACCAAAACCACCTGCCGGATGGGAGGTGAGCATAGGTGGCTTGAACGAGTCCCCAAAATAGCATTGTTATGCCTGCTTGACATAATAAACGCAGTTACCTGTTGGACTTGAGTATTAGTATACACATACATTTCAACAGCTGATAGTACGCGCTTAAGCTGAAATAATCAAAAGGGGTAGGGGAAATGAACTCTGCCAACTAGGTGCCACTAGTGATTTTTTCCAGACAAAGATCAATAAAGATGGCAAAAACAGCAAAATTTATTGGATCCATTAATTTCGAGAGTGCTCATCAGTTGTCTCCTCTCGTTGCATAACGTGAATAACGTAAGGGAAAATAAAAATTGAATTCATGCAGAAAAATCGATACAAACAGCAAGGTCATGAGAAATGGCCAAGAGGCTTCCATTTTCTTATCGTAATCTTTGCGAGTGAGGATAGCCACACCATGCCCTTTGTCAGGCTTAGAAATAACTATTTCTTTGTGGTTAATATACAGTGTTCCAAGGAATGTTATGTCACAGAGCCACGCCAGTACAAAACTGAACAAAAGAGTACAGAGGTTGTCAGAATTATTTGCGTGATTACCGTATGTATCGTGAGTCGAATCTTATCCGCAGTTGTGTGTATAAAGAGCGGTAGCGATCGTGGTAATTCTGAGAAGGAGTCATGCTAGTTACTAAAATGTTGAACTGGCTTTGTGGTTTATGCTTTATAACTGCTTACACGAGCTTTATATGGCCTTTTAAGCGTGTGAACACATAACATGTAACGTGGTCGTTCAACTTAGCAAAAACTGTAGATAGACTACCCCATGTTAAATGTAGTGAAAGGTTCTCCCCGAGAAAATGCTTCTGACTTTCAATTATGTGCCTGAGAAACTGCACGAGGTAACTCATATATACTATCATGTGATTCGTAAACTCCTTATGAAGGCACTTGTCCTTTCAATCAATGAAGCATGCACATAACCTCTCTAGAGCTTCCAGCTTTAATCCAGTTGTCTTAAGAGAGTAAATGTTTGTGGTTTATTTGAAGTAACCCATGTTGCCTGAAGGATAGGCCTACGTTCAGAGCTGAGGTGTACGAAATAATGCATAGGTACTCCTTTCAGAAGAGCTGCGACCTTTATTGACAAGTTTTGGCCTGCTGGAAAGTGTCTCCGGCATTTTTTTACCATATTCTTTTAAAATCGAAAATGCTTTCCTTTTAAAGAGGAATTAATATTAGCTTATTCAGCATCACATAAGTTGTTGCGGCTAGGTCTTATTCTTATGTGTACTTAATTTCTTAACCAAAATTACTTTGACAGATTGAATCCATTTATAATTTCTTATTAGTTGAATAGTGCTATATCAAAAGTGACCGTATTTTACTAACATGGTTCAATGCACTCTGGTAACCGAAACTACCTCCAAACTATGAAAAAGGCCTCTGATGACTACATGCAATCAAACGTACATCACAGAGGTGTACATATCTTCTCAGCCCGCTGAGACTTTATAGAAAGGAGCCATTGACTTCTATCCAAAATGGTACAATATTAGAAAAAAGTATTGTTATTGTAATATCTGTGTTGGTTGCGTTTTAAATATTCGCTGTAAATTTTTAATTTAAGAAAAAACAGAAGAGTGGCCGTTTGAACAAATTTAGGCGAAAAAACGGGGAAATGCATAGACACGTGAATTCAAAGATACACGATCTACTATCAAGTAAGAGCGTGTATAGTGAAGGCAATATGTATTTTCCAAACATTCCACAATTCCTGGACGTCGCGGGGGGAGGGCTTTTAGACGGGCAAATTTAAACGGAACATAGACTATCTGATGCGACTGAAACTTTAAAATCTTCCAGTTCTTGCTCCTCTGTGGTCTCTTCTACTCGGTCCAATTGCGTACCAATAAGTATTTGGTACAGGAAAGCTCCAATCACTGCACCAGCTATAGGTGCTAATAATGAAATCACGAAGTAGTAGTCATCAATTGTAAATGCCGACGCACCCCAGTCTGAAAATTTAAAAAAATGCATCATGAGTCATTTGGTAATACACTTTGAAACACAAAAAAAAGAAATTAATTTTTTGGCAAGCAGCCCTATCCATTTAATACCAATTTGTTGCTTGTTTCAAATATTTCATAAAAAAACGCCCCTTCATATCAGAAGCCATTTCAATCACTGTCTCCCAAGACCT